TATATATATGTGTGTGTGTACAAGTAAATAAAAAAACATCTAACAAGGTTAGCAGCTCAGAGGAAAAACTACTCCAGTGCACCGAAAAAGTGGGTTTAGGTAGTTATATAAGCTCTCTGTCCTGTGAATGCCTCGGGAGAGATGACAGATAACCAAATGATGTAAAGATTTCAGTCGCCTCACATTCTCCTCAGCTGAAACCTCAGTTAAACCAGCCTGGAGCCAGTTTAAACCACCTTCACAAGCATCGCTGTGAAGTCATAAAACAGCAGAACCGTCATCTACATCCTTAATAAGGATATCAACCATCCATTCTCTTCAGTTTATCCTTTTCGGGGCGTGGGGGGGCTGGATCTATCCCAGCTGTCTTAGAGCGAGGGGCAGGGCACACCCTGGACAGGTCGCCAGTCTGTCGCAGGGCCAACACATAGACACACACAACCATTTGCACCTATGGGCAATTTAGAGTTTCCAATTAACCTATCCTCCCTCCCAGAGTACCCGGAGAGAACCCACACAAACATGGGGCGAACATGCAAACTCAACCCAGAAAGACCCCAACCTGATGGTGGACTGACTCAGGACCTTCTTTCTGTGAGGCGACAGTGCTATCCACTGTGCCACAGTGCTGAATATCAAGGACTCACTGAAACGATCTGTGTTGTGTTGTAGATGTAATGTACTGTGAATGGACCGGCCTTCACAAGCAGAGACACAAGGAGGCGTGGCATCTCATTCTACCCAATCAGCATCGAAGAGTGACATGGCTCCGGCCAATGATAAGCTGTGAAAGTAGACCAACACCACCCATGCAGGTGAGTATTCATCACATCAATGTTACAAAGTGATCAACACAATGAACACTTTTTGATGCAGATGTGCTTCTAGCTAGATAGATAAACCCTGAACTGAATTATAAACTTAAATTACAACCCCCAAGTTACCTCTCAGCCTGATGGCTGGTGTTAGAGTAAGAGGAGCCAGATAAGAGCAAGATGTCCTGGTTAGAGATGTCTTGAATGTGTTGAACGGGAGTCAGGGTGACCTTATACGAGATGAGCAGCAGTTTCACCTACCTGGAGTTTGGAGGAATTGCTGTTCCTGGTGCTGAGTGGCTGATGTGAGACAGGTGAGCAGGTGTTGTGGTCAGAACCCATCTCTCTCACGGTCTTTCAGCAGTGTGTTTCTGGACCTGTTCGTCCCTCTCAGCTCTGCACTGAAAAGTGTCCTGTGTTACCTCTCCAGGTGAGTCTCCAGCTGATCTGTCCATCAGTTTGTCTTTCTGTCCATTCAAGCTGTGCTAATCACATCTCTTCTCTTTCAGGTGATCAAAGAAGTTCAGCCTTTTTTTTCTTCACAATTTTCTTCCAGATTCACTTTGCTGACAAACTACAGACACAGTAAGACAGCGTGTCTCTCAGTATGTCTCTGTTCATCTGTTGTTTGTGTAAATGTGTGTGTCAGCCATACACAGAAGCACACTGTGTGTATGAAATGCCTTTGAGCCATGAGAGCAGATTGAAACACTGAAATCTTTGTTTACGCGGACGAAATCAACCATGTGGCAAATGAATATTTCACTGTTGATTATGATGTGCTGTATACAGTAAATGATGGCCATAAATATCTCGCGTCCATCATACACGATAATTCACTCCTGTTTTTGTTTGTGTTTTTGGCACAGATACATAGATATGTTGAAGGCCAGGTTGAGAGCTTTAGCCAGATGTTGAGCTTGATGATCCAAAGCTCTTAGACGGCACTAGCTACCCTGTCTTACATTTGAGTCCTGGGACTGACAAGGCTATCTGCTGCCTGCTTCAGTGAGAGCGGGATGGTGCATGTTGTAATGGAAATTAGGCGTTTGTTGGAAACTTAAAGAGAAGATGCCACAGATACTCAGCGAGAAATTAATACTTTGTAAAACTGCCATTCATACCACACTGATGTGCAGTTCAGGTACCTCAGCTGGAAGGGTTATACATCTTTTATTTTTATTTTTCTTGGCCGCCTGTCCCGTTTGGTTCTTTTGCCATCAGAATTATTGTCTGAAGGCAAAGAGAGAAGCCCAATGGATTACTTTACCAAGTGGACCTTCCCTGCCTTGCCGTATTGGTCCATTTGATTGACCTTTGTTGTTATTATTTATTTATTTTATTTTATTTTCAGTTGTTACAGACGGGACAGACATCACCGGGGGGAGGGAGGGAAACAACAGAGGAATAGTGATGAAGGGCAAAGAAGGGGGGGGGGCAAAAAATGTATATCACCTGGATCACCTGTTAAGAGAAAAAAGAAGAGAAAACAAGCAAACAAAAACTAATAAAAAGCAATATAATAAACACAACACCATCGTGGTACTCTATGTGTATATAGCAGTAAACATACAATATTGAATATTATTGTGCAGCATGTTAGATCAACAGCGCACAGTGTGCTTTGAGGTAGGAGGCAAAAAGGGTGTAGTTTTGAGGCATTGAAGATGATAACAGTGGGTGGATTATATTCTTAAACTTAGTTACAGCGCTTTCAGAAAGACATCTACTGTGATAAGTCTACTCTCCACTGCTGTGTAATCAATTATTGTAAATGTAAATGTTATGTTGGTCCCAACTTTTCTATAAGGCAGAGTAAATCAATCAATCAATCAATTTGATCATTTATTAAGTCATGTCCATGGCACAAAAAGAGTTGGGGGACCCTGGGTTAAATTATCCAGAGAGCAAATAGCCTAATGTACCTCTGAGGGTCCTGAGTCTATTGCACAGCAAGTTCATGTTGGTAGCATCCCTTGTCTGTTTCCCTCTGAATGATTGGTCAGAAAAATCTGCCCTACTTCTTTCCTGTCTACACCTCAAGGCAGATCCCATTGGAGTACAGATGGAGCTGTGTGAAATGTAAAATGACCTTCATGATCATTAGGTTTTTGTTTATACAGCACCAGTTCACAACAACAGCCATCTTAAGGCACTTAAAGCTGAAGGATGTTAAAAATAAATTAATAGCAAAGCAGGTAGAAAGAAGGCATCAAACATACTGATCATTAAACTTCACCTGCTGTCTGACAGAGGTAAAGGAGCATGAAGTCATGAATCTATAAGAATTCTTTAAAAAGTGGAAATCAATGATTTTAGAGTAGGACTCATTCTTGAATCAAATCAGAAGTTAACCCTTTAGTTCACCGTGTTTCAACTCTTCAGCAGTAACAGTTAGGGTGTGAGTAGGTTTGGTCAGGATTAGGTTAGTCTGCAGAGCAAAACAGATCTGACTTCATCATCCTGTCACTGATCGTTTCTGACATCACGCTCCCATGACCCATGTTTCTGTTGTCACAATGTTTCATCTTCTCACAGAGTATCAAACATTGAGCCTTAGGAATTCTGTTCATCTGTCACATATTTTTAGCTTGTTACATTTTTACTCTCACAGTCAAACTAGGAAGAGAGTTGTTACTGAGCAGATAAATTAGAGTTCAAGGGTCAAAGGAGAGCCACTTGGCTTGTTTGACTGTTTTCCTTGCAGTTCTCAATGAGTTCACCTGTTGGAGAAAGTCTGTGCTGCCCAGTTCTGATCGAGGTATCCTGTATGGGCAATAAGTTTTATTTGTTTTGTTTGTCAGGGAAACGAGGAACGGGTGGAGGAAAGCTTTCCTATCAAGGAGCATTACTGCTGCGGACAAAGAAACCAGAAGACAGACAGGTGAGGATCCATTTAAATCAAAATAAAACTCCGATAATTCTAGCAAAATTACAACCTTTCTTTCTGTAAAGACTCAAAGCTGTTTAACACAAAATCACCTGAAATGGGTTTCTTTCCATTATCTGGGTTCAACATCAATCAGGATACTGAGTCACACAAAGCTGGCCACAGTCACACAAACCTGAAACCCAGTAGGCGAGCCCCTGGCAACTGTAGGTCTCAAAGGAAATATGTATATTCCTAGACTGGTTGGTGAGTGGTTTTTGGAAGTTGTTAGGTTAAATGGGTCTTAAAGAGAAAGCTCCACCAAAAACCTCCTTAAAATCGCTTTGATCATTTACTTTAGCCCATAGCTTGTCTAGAAGAGATGCACTTGTCTGCAAACATTCACCGTTTACTTTAGGAGGAGCTCTAATGAAGCATGAGATAGGACGATGCAAAGTAGAAAAGAGAGAACCTTCTCTATTCTCAGTTTGTGTTACACTTTCTGCAGTGTCATTACCACTTAGGGAATAGTTTCAGTGTTCACAGATAAAACAGCATCCTGCAAACTACTAACAACCACATCAACATGCTAGCAACCAAAGCAACTGCAAGGAGTTTTTTTGTGCAGCACCATATATCTCTTTGAGGTCAATTTCATTCTAGCATCTGCCAGTAACTTTACTCAATCACTCCGGAACTGGTCACAGGAGGGACATCAAATGAATGACTAATGTTCATTTGATGAGGGTTATAGATGTTTTTCTTTTTTCTTTTTTTCTTTTTTGCAGTGAGAGATCAGGATAAATAATCTTTCCTTCCAATCATTGGCATTTGGTGTGTGGGGTGTGTGTGGTGTGTGTTGTTGTGTTGTTTGGTTTTGTGTTGTAAGTATCGGTTTTGTACTCTGTATTGGCAAGTACTCAGATCCAAGTATCGGTTTGTAAAAATTGGTATCGTTGCATCTCTAGTCTGACAGTAACGTCTTGATGCATGCTCAATCATCCAGGTAAGTTGATTCTGTTCATCTGGACGTGGCATTTTCAGTGGGAGAAACGTTTCGTCACTCATCCACGTGACTTCTTCCAACCTTATAAACAGTACCTTAAGTGTTTGTTGGTTGTGTTGTTGT